CCCTTTTTTTAAAAAACGTTTGCACCCTGCCCTTTTTTCTGCCTAGAATGAGCTCTGATATTTATATATACATGTAATGTAATTTTTATGTGTACAATGGTTACACATATAGAATTCACCTTTTACCAAAGTTCAAGGTTTTGGATGCTTTAAGACAGTTAAGTACAGTTTAAGACAGTAAAACTCACCTGTCCTGTCCTAAACCCCAACCCTGTTTGAAATAGAATTTTGATTGTTGGTTCAATGTTATAAATTTAATATTTATGTTGTAAATAATCATGTTAAATATTCCATTGCAACAATTTGTAAATTTTTTTTGAAGATTTTTTCTCAGTTGGTAAGTTTTGTAACAATACTGTTCATCTCTTACAAATTATTTTGTAATTAGACTGATAATAGTTCATAAGCTTAAGTAGAACCACAATGATCTCACACCAATGACAACTTAACTCACTAAGTTAAATTATTTTTTAATTGAGTAAGATTCTTGGAACCAGATTATGAACATTTTCATTTTATTCAGACCTGATGACCGTCATGACATTGCACATGTGGATTTAAATGTGGAAAACTTATTTTTCTCAATATAATGAATTTAAATCATGAGAAACCTAGGGATCAAAAGTATTTAGGCATGTGTATTGATTCGCAGAGATCCTGGATTCTATATATTGTATTTTTTGGGAGAGTTACCTTAATTTAAAATTTACTTTTAGTAGCTTATGCAAAATTTTCAGAAGGTGTTTGTTCCATTTATTCTTTTAGGTATGTTTGCATACTGTGATCCGCTACGCCGACTACAAAAATTGAAAAAAAGAAAATATACAGATTTGCCTGAGTGTGGCTACGAAATGTACTCTATTAATTGGTCTCTTTCTGTGATTTATATTTTCACTGTCTAAAAGTTCACAAAACTTAGCGATTATTTATTTTGGCGATAAATATCCCCCTCCTTTTTCTTATTAAGTTCTCATTCACATGCAATGATGACTTTGTTATGCAGTTTTGCTAGAGAGAAACAAAACTTTCATATTTTTTTATGAGTAGCAAATGATGTAGTTGCCATTTTTTATTTGTATTTGTGTAGATTTATTCAATTTCTAATGTATTTGAAAAGGAAATCATGTGATTCTATAATCACTTATCAACAAGCTAGATACCTTAAATCTGTGCTCGGATCTTTTTTCCCCTTTACATGGAATCCCTATGGCAGAATTTATTCGAGCTATTTGCAACAAAACTCTCTAGCCCTAATGTCTTTCTGCAAGATACTTTCAATAATATCAAACATATGTGTTACTCATTTAAAATGCGTTTACGAATGCGTTTACGAAAAAAACCAAACAATGTAATTTATTTTAATTGAACATGTAGTAATTTTTTTCTCTCTAATATTATGGGTGATATTCTCGCATTTCTTTATTTGGGGGGGGGGCAAAAATTATTTATTCGCCTTTTGTAAATAATCACTACGTTAAAAAAATTTGCAGTAGTAATTACCGAATAATTTATTGATGACGAAATCACGCGAATCGGACTCTTTAAATGCGTGTTTCATTTTGAGGTTAGGTTGTTCTCATAAAAGATATCGGATTTAAAAACCATGGAGAGATCAATAGCAATAACTGCCCAAAATTTCATGGAATTTATTGCCTTAAAAAGGGAAATACTCAAATGCACAATTTGAATTTTCCATATTGTTTGAAATATATATACAGGGGTCAGTCCAGACATTTTGTGAAAGGTCCGTTTTTCATGAAATTGTGAAAAAATACTCACATTCTTTTAAACAGGGTCCGCTTTTATGAATCTGCGCAAATAGGGTCCGATATTGCAAAAAAAAAAATTTTTTTTTTTCAAGGATTGTTTAAATTGTAAAGACATACAAGATTATGCTCAACACTGTAAAAGTATAATTAAAAAAATTACATTTTCAAAAATAAACAATAATTGCTGATTCTAAATTAGAGGTGCAACATTCAAATATTTGGTATTTAGCCTATGCTGCTGAACGCAGAATATTCATTTCGGACGAATGATGGAAGAATCATCTGCCAAAGACAAAACTTAATTCGTTTACATCCATCTTTCTTGTTTTCTGCCCTGGAAAGGGTTTATTCGATTGACAAAATAATAATGAAGATAAACAAATATATGAAGGATCCGATTAAAAGAAAAATCATTTTGTGAAGGATCCGTTTTTAAGTTAAAATATTTAGTGAAGGGTCCGTTTTTATGAAAAGATATTTTGTAAAGGGTCTGTTAACGGACCCAAATTTCTTCTAAACAGACCCCTGATATATATTTAAAATTTCCAATGGCAGATTATAGACAGTAACAGCATACATTAACATCTAAAAATAAGAACAGAAACAAAAGATGTGCAACATGTCTATATGATATTATGGCTTGGAAGTTTTGAATCTTGCATCATGTTTTGATCTTTTTTCTTTTGCAATTGGTTTCCTCATGGTTTCTGATATTATGACATACTTGCCAACTTTTACGGATTATCCGTAAAATGTACGGATTTACGTCTAATTTTACAGGCCTACGGATTAACCTGAAATTTATACGGATCCCCCGTTTTTAGCGTTGCACGATTAGCGCATTGGCAAAATTCCGCGATTATCAGCTGCTACGGAGCTAGAGTAAAACCATTTGTAAAGGGGGAAAACAGAAAAAATGACAGGAGTTTTCCGATCTATTCCAAAGCAACACGGTAACCACACACCCCTTATAAGTGGCTTATCCTCGTAACCATAGTAACGGCACGTTCACGTGTAAACCAGTTGATTGGTTATTCTCCTTTTCTCCCTCCTAACTGCTTCCAGTCTCCTTTAGTGAATGCGCTGTTCCCGTCATTATTGCCACTCCCCGTTTCTACTACGTCACTGAACTAGCCGATCCAAACGTCGTTCTCCCTCCCTCTGTNTATAAAAGTAAATGCGAAACAATAAGTTTTAGTAAAAAAAAAAAAATGTTTTTTTGAAAAAACCCACTTATCGTTCCAAGTGGGTTTTTTCAAGGTGGGCCCGCCCAATAAAACCCGGGCGGGTTTTTTCAAAGTGGGCCCACTTGGCGAACCCTGCAATGATCTGACACCAATGTCAACTTACTTATTCTTAGAGAAGTTAAATTATTTTTTAATTGAGTAAGATTCTTGGAACCAGAATATAACCATTTTCATTTTGTTCAGACCTGATGACCGTCGTGGCATTGCTCATGTGGATTTAAATGTGGAAAATGTATTTTTCTCAATATAATGAATTTAAATCTTGAGAAACCTAGGGATCAAAAATATTTAGGCATGTGTACTGATTCACAGAGATCCGGGATTCAATATTTTATATTATTCGGGAGAGTTCCTTTAATTTAAAATTTACTTTTAGAAGCTTATGCAAAATTTTAAGAAGGCATTTGTTCCATTTATTCTTTTAGGTATGTTTGCATACTATGATCCGCTACGGCGACTACAATAATTAAAAAAAAAAAAAAAANGACTGTGTCAAAAAAAAAAAAAAAAAAACAGATTTGCCTGTGTGTGGCTACGAAATGTACTCTATTAAATGGTCTCTTTCTGCGATTTATATTTTCACTGTCTGAAAGTTCACAAAACTTGGCGATTATTTATTCTGGCGATAAATATCCCCCTCCTTTTTCTTACTAAGTTCTCATTCACATGCGATGATGACTTTGTTATGCAGTTTTGCTAGAGAGAAACAAAACTTTCAAACTTTTTTTTAATGAGTAGCAAGTGATGTAGTTGCCATTTTTTATTTGTATTCGTGTAGATTTATTTAATTTCTAATGTAGTATTTCAAAAGGAAATCATGTAATTCTATAATCACTTATTAACAAGCTAGATACCTTAAATCTGTGCTCGAATCTTTTTTTTCCTTTACATTAAATCCCAATGACAGAATTTATTCGAGCTATCTGCGACAAAACTCTCTAGCACTAATATCTTTCTGCATTCTGCAAGATACTTTCAGTTATAACAAACATATGTGTTACTCATTTTAAATAAAAAAAAAAAAAGCGATGTGTTTACTAAAAAAACTAAACAATATAATATATTTTAATTGAACGTGTAATAATTTTTTTCTAATATTATGGGTGATATTCTCGCATTTCTTTTTTTTTGGGGGGGGGGAGCACAAATTATTTCTTCGCCTTTTGTAAATAATCACCATGATAAAAAAATTCGGAGTAGTAATTGCCGAATAATTTATTGACGCCGAAATCACGCGAATCGGACTCCTCAAATATGTGTTAAGTTTTGAGGTTAGGTTGTCATAAATAATGTCGTTTAAAGAATATCAGATTTAAAAACTATGAAAAGATCAATAGCAAGAACTGCCCAAAATTTCATGGAGTTATTGCCTTGAAAAGTTAATACTCAAATGCACGATTTGAATTTTCAATATTGTTTGAAATATATATATATATTTAAAATTTCCAATGGCAGATTATAGACAGTAACAGCATGCATAAACATCTAATAATAAGAAAAGAAACAAAAGATGCTGCAACAGTCTATTAATCACAACCAGGGTTGGGTTTTTGTCGTCAAAAACTGGTTTTTGACATGACAGTGGTTAAAACCGTCAAAAACCTACTGTTTTCTTTCATTTATGGCATATAGTGAACAATATATTATTTCACATAATTGCCTTTATAAATGAATGTTGTAAATGATTGCTATTGATTTTGCAACCTATATACATGTATTCTTATAGAAGGATATACATTCATACGGAAATATTGTAACATACTTATTGAAAATAGTGATACTTTTATCATTATGCTTGATTTGCAAAGGATTCAAAATTTTGCACTTCTTAATTGTTAGAAATAAACAAACAAACAAAAAAGTTTGGAACTATTAATAAATTCAAGAATTTAAAACTTGGCAGTTCTTAAATATTAGAAATAAGCTAAACAAAACTTTCAAAACATTGTAACTACTAACAAACTCTAAGTCAAGAATTACTGCTACTTTGTCAAGTTAAAAACTTTTATTCAGTTGAAAAAGCACATTAAACAAAACTTAATTACAAACAAAATTACGTGTTCAGTAGTTGGGGTCAATGTGCCGAAGCAAGTGACTAATTTTACGCATTTCTCATTGCCTAGTCGATTTCTGAGTTTAGTATGGATGAGTCCAAAATTCGAGACTAATGACGATTCGAGATCATTGAGGATAATGATAACAAAAGGCTATTGCAATGTTGCAAGGATTTCCAGACTTTTTCATGTCTCATTTCTGTGTAAAATATTGAAAGCAAAATTGATGAGAAAAGTTTATTTTATGAGGCTTTCTTTTTATGTGTACACGTGTTTCTCAAAGCAAGATTTTATGAGTGAAAGTAATCAATCTTAACATTCTTCAGTAATGTAATATGCCAAACAAAATGATGCTTCGAAATGTTAAAAATTTTGTTCAGTATCCTAATATTTTACTTCAAATAGTATGTTTTGATATAATCATGTTGGGAAAATGCAAGAATCTGTTCTTACATATCTTTCAACAACTTTTTTTCTAATTTGATTGCCCAAAAATGAATTAATTTTAAATTACAAGCAGTTAAGCTCAAATAAAATTACAGTTTTACCAAAACTATGTGTTTTTGACATTTTTGACAGAGGGGTTTTTGACATGGCGGTAAAAACTGTCATGTGTCAATAACTTGCCAACCCTGATCACATGTCTATATGATATTATGGCTTGGAAGTTTTGAATCTTGCATTTAAGTGATCATGTTTTGATCTTTTTTCTTTTGCAATTGGTTTCCTCATGGTTTCTGAAATTCTGATATTATGATAAATTTCAGTTTTTACTCTTTTTATTCAATGTCAACATACAGTGTGAAAACAGAAATGTGTCCTTTCCTGCCGCATATTTATTCTTTTATATGTTGTTAAGAAAACAATTTATTGGATGCATTTTTCTATTCTTTAAAGTTTGTAACTATTACTTTTATGTATAAAAATGAGTTATCTTCTATAGATAAAAAGAAAAAATAAATTAACTGCTAAAAAACTGCTCATTTAGTTAAAAAAAAAATGGATACTACTGATCTTATCATTTGAATTACGGTCTTGTTTGCAATTATTGTTCATGTATTTCAGGTTTGTCACTCATTTAATGAAACGTATCCAAAGAGGACCCGTTAGAGGTATTTCTATCAAACTGCAAGAAGAAGAAAGAGAGAGGAGAGATAATTATGTGCCTGAGGTATCTGCCATTGACATGGACGTGATTGAAGTTGATCCAGATACTGATGAAATGTTGAAACAAATGGTATGTCGAGGAATTTTTGTTTTTCTTTAAGGCTCTGTGCTCACAAATGTTATTTTTATTCTTTATTTCATAAATAAAAATTGTCCTATCCAATTTCTTGTGCATTAAGTTCAAAAGCATTGATCTTTGAGCCTGTTTCTTTTCAAGTTAGTAGTTGCTTCCCTGTGTAATGCAAAATTGCCCTCATTAATAATTCTTGGTTTAATTATGGTTATATCTTTTTATTTCATTGTACGCTTTGTAAATTTTCTTATAGCTTTAAAACAGAAAAACAAAATATAACATTAAGCTACACATCCTTAACAGTGTTGGTGGCTTTTATAATACCAAAAATTCTGGACCTCAATTTTCTTGATACAGGGGTGAGATTTTTCCGGTTTTTAGTGGATTTCCGATTTTTTCACTTTTCTCTTTAATTTCAGCTTTTTTTTAATCAAAAATTCAGATTTTCTAAAAATTTCACTTTTTTATAAGTATTCTGCTTTTTTAGAAAATTCACCGATTTTCAAAGAGAAACAGAAAATTCAAACTACATAGCTACCAATCCTTTTTCATTTTTACTTATTTTAGCTATTATCTCCCCTTTTACATGCAGCAGATAAGATTTTCCGAATTTTTTTTACGCGCCCTTCAGATCCGATTTTCAAAGTTCAAATGACGCTGCTTCTGACAAGCCTTTTAGAGGTCTCAAGCCTGGAATCTGCTAATATCTCAATTCTTATCACACGATTTTAATATCCAACATAGCTTTTCATATTTGCGTGTTACGATTCTTATTCACGCGATTTGAATATTGTATGTTGTGATTCTTTTTTACGAGATTTAAAAATCCGATATTGTGATTCATATTTACGCCTTTTTCTATGTAGCGGTTCGTATTCACGCAAGTTTAAAATTCATGTTTTGATTTGCTCATGCGGTTTATAATATCAAACATTGATTTTCATATTTATACGTGATTTTAAAATAAGGCATTGGGATTCGCATTCACGCATTCTAAAAATTATGCGTCATAATTCTTATTTATGCAATCTAAAAATTACGCATCATGATTCGTGTTTACGCGATCTAAAAATTATGAATCGTGATTTGTATTTACGCTTTTGAAAAATTCTATATCCCAGTTTGTATTTTCTCATTTTCAAAATCTTATATCTAGTTTCATATTCATGTGATTTCAAAATCCATAATTGTTATTCATATTCACGCAATTTTAAGATCAACTATCGCGATTCTTGTAAGAAGTAAATTTTTTTTAAAAATTAGTTACTATAAAAGTGACTGTTTTTCTAACGACGATTATTAGTATATGTAAGTGTTACAACATCAGAGAAACTGGAAGGGAATATATTCAAAACTTACATTCTGTGCTTGCAAAGAAGAAAAAATAGGATTTGTCACAAGATGTTTGAAGATGGACTAACGACTAAATATAGCAAACATAAAAGATATAGCAAACAAAAGCAATCACTTAAAAAGGGATTTAATTAAAAAAAAAATTTGGGGGAAAAAGAGTTAATTAACTCATCATCAAAATTTTATTTATAATTGCTGTTATTTATGCTATAAAATGCAAAATTCTTATCAAATAAAAAACAATTATCTAAACAGTTGCTGATTGTCATGTAATTTTTCAAACTAAAATAGCAATTTTTGTATGTTAAGGAGTTACTATATATTTCTACTTCACTGTTATTGATATGTTTCAGAGGGCTCTAGTTAGATTAGACTATAATATGAACACTATGATTCGGTCCATTGTTAAAGTTTTTTTCCCAATATAATTTAAAAAGTAATCTTACTGATATATTTGCTATAAATCATGTAACAGCATTTATTAAAAGAAATGAAATATTAATGTATATTCTCAGTAGTTTTAATTTGCTAAAAGGTAGTTTTTCAAGTAATAATTGTCTCTTATGTGAACTGAGGAAAAATATAATTTCCAGCTTTATTTTTTCAATTGGTAATTTTTATTTTCACTAAATGTTAAGTATCAATGTAATCATTTGTATAATAATAGATTAGTACACAATTGTAAGTCAACACATTATTTATTACATTAAACAGTGAGGAATTTATTAAAGGGTTGTGCTTGCGTAAAATTTACTATCGTGGAAATTCAGTTTTTTTGCCTTTTGGCTAATCTCATCCCTGTTAAGATTTCCTATTTTTCAATATAAGACAATCAAGTAAAAACCTTTTAGTAAGAAGTTCTTAAAATTTTCTCAAAAGAATTGCACAAATTACATATTTAATTTAAATCTTTTAAAAGGTGACACATTTAATACTTAATTAAATTTTCATCCTTTAGATACCTTAATTATGTAGTTAGAGTGCATATTGTTTTTAATAACTGCTTAATGTTGCTTATTTTCGATATTTAGAAACCCTTATAGGTGCTTTTATCATAGGGTGTTTTTTAAGGGTGCTCCCCTTTTCCACAACGATTTTTTTTTACCATGCTGGTTTCAGTCCCAAAATACTAAAAAAAAAATGGTTTTCATGTTGTTCCTTTCAACATTTTCAATCACAATCCATTTTGGCATACCATATGAAAGTGCCAATCATTTTACATGTTTGGTGAAATACTTGTGGATGTGCTTGCACTTAGCTGAATTTTGTAGAAAGCATTCTTGCACTCTCATGCGACTCTGCTGCATTGTGCATGAGATTCTCGATTTTAGGTTTCTTTTTCCACCCTTTGAAATAGAACTGGAAAATTTTCCGAACTTCAATTCATCTTCTGGATATAATCAATGAAAGAGTTCGTTGTCAGAAATTAGTTATTGATCCTGATCATGTAGTTGTTGCATTTTGTTTATTAATATATATATATATATATATAGTCGAACCCCTCTATAGTGAACCTCTTTAGCGGTCCCGTCCGTACTCCTATTTAAATAATGTTATTTTTAACGCTTATAGTGAACAGCTTAGAACTTGGAAACTCGGTTATTGTGGACTCAAATTTCATTTCTTTAAATACCTTTTTCAGTCCTCCATCTTTAAACTTGCAGGTGTTGGGACTGAAAATGAATGCATTCCTATAAAATGAGTCATATTACTCTCCTTTATGCTTATCACTTTTAACTATACTGTAATAAATGTCAAACAGATCATTTATCTTATATCCCCCCCCCTCCCTGACAAGCCTTGCTTTATCTCTTTTCCCCAAGCTTGCTATACAACTAGTTAACTTGGCCACCTGCTGAATTTTTGGAATTTTCTTATCTGTTCAAACCATATTCTTTACAAATCACCCCTTGACAATCAAGAAGGGGAACAATTTAACTCATTCTACAGCTGCTCTCTTCATATTCTTACATTATCTATTTGAGACAAGATTTTTATTTCAAAAGCAGTGAAAATGGCAAATTCTCTAAAGAGAAAAGCGTTTTCGATAGAGGACAAAGTTAAAATTGTAAAGCGTATTGATGATGGAACCAATCAATCGACACTGTGTAAGGAATTTTCCTTGTCAAAATCTACAGTTTCAAACATTTGGAAAAGTCGAAGTGCAATTCTTGCGGCATACGACAAAAACATGGTTTCATTGAAAAAAACTGCGTGGAGCTGAAAGAGTAAACGTAGAAGATGCTTTGTTAAGATGGTTCGAAATCTTGTTCAAAATGTAAAAATCTTGCATTCTTTGCACATTGTAGATAAGAAAATTGATGAACTTAATTCAAAATCGAATTGTGTTCAATCAAAAATCACAAATTGTTTTCATAAAAAGTGAAAATAAAACTAATATTTAGTGACGTAATTACTTTTTCCATCAATTTTTGCTTTATTATCTGTTAATTAGTTAATAATTTTTTAAATAACTTATGCAAAATTGCAAAGCCAATTTTCAATAATTCAACTGTCTTATGCAAAAAATATTCTTCAAAAAATTTGGATATAGTGAACCATCGGTTATAGTGGACACATTACTGAGTCCGCAGGCGGTTCACTATAGCGGGGTTCGACTGTATATATATGTGCTATGTATTGATCTTGAAAATTTAGTTCCAAACTAAAGTAATTTCATAAATTAAATATATTTTAGGAAAAGAATATGCTTTTATAATACATATTTTTTAGTTTCTGTGCTTTTTAAAATTAGTCCTATATTATATGTGCGGTTCAGAAAAGTCTCTTAGATGTTTTTAGAAAATGTTCTTTGGATAATTCTGAGTCTTATATTCGTATTTGTTTTTAATTACATTTTGCCGTTGACAAAGAAGCAGGATGTTTTTAGAAAATGTTCTTTGGATAATTCTGAGTCTTATATTCATATTTGTTTTTAATTACATTTTGTGGTTGACAAAGAAGCAGGACGAATTTTATTCAATGTATCTTTCTTAACATATGTCTTATTTTCTTTTCTGTATCTCCTTTTACGTTTTTATTATTTTCAATTACTATTCATTATTTCTTTTGATAAGGGCTCTTGTAATTTCCATGTGTCTCAGAAAGCGTCTGCTGGAGCATGGAACTTATACAGCTCTTTATGTTTAATCTCTTCTCAAAATTAACATTTATATTTTTGTAACTATTGTTTTTTACAATTTTTATTACTTTTTTTTCAGGATGTTGGTAAAATTCCAGGTTTACAAGTAGCAATGCCATTTGCTGGAGGACCTAGAGTATAAAATAAAAGAAAAAAAATTGAACATTCTTGTCTCTTTTTTTTTGTAATTTAAGACACCTTTGTATTCTAAAATATTTCAGTGTTATATTTCATGCTTCGACATGATAAAAAATTAAGATGCCGTTTGCTTTCTTTTTTAAAAAGAAATAAGAGGAACTTAACATCTGCCTTAGATAATGATAATTTCCAAGGATGCCACTCTTCAGTCCTGAAGACTGAAATCAGTCTTTTATAAAGTTATATATGTATTTTCTGTTAAAAATAATCCATTTTAATGCGAACATAATTATTGTAAAATGATCAAGTAATAATAACACATTGAAATGAAAAAAAATGGGATTGTTGCTTCTATTACACGTGTATTTAAGCAAAAATTGAAAGGTCGTGCTTGCTTACACAAAATTAGTATGATTGTGTCAAAATTTGCTTCAGTTTCTTTTTTCCCCCCAATGTTTTGAAATGCTGACCCAAGTTATGAATAAGGTTTTTTTTTTTATATAAGAAGAATTAAGGAATAGAATGAAAATAATTTTGAGAAAGACGAAAAAAATAATGGTGAAGCGAAAAGTAACATACATAGATAGCTTCATGGAGAAAGAAAAGGTGGTTTATTATTCAGTGATAAGGTGTAAAAAGAAGTATTGAGTTATACTGTTATTTTTATCTTCATTGTTGTAAAAAAAAATTGGAAAAGTACCCAAATCCTTGATTTGATATGTGTGCCATTATCATGGAAAGGAACATTTTCGAGATGGTACTATGCTATAGTAAATTTTTGAAATTTCTGGTATGCGGCGATAGATTGTTTTCGTCAAGAAATAAGTTGTTTATAAGGTTAATTTAGATTTTTTTTATGGATTATTGTGCAAATTCTTATCTGTGTAAGGTTCTGCATCTGAACATATCTAAGTTATTAACCATTTTTAAAAATCACCTTGATGAAAATCATCAAAATAAGTCTTATTCTCAGTGTTTGCAAATATTTACGAGGCCAGATAATACAATATTGTAAGTTTTTAAATATTCAACCACAAACGCTTTTGCTATTCACAGAGCTGTGACTTTTCCTCATATTGACAAGTACCGGATTAAGCGAGGCCGGGTTCTAGGCCATTCAAATTTTTGGGGCCCTCAGATTAAATTCTATTCTCATAAGTATGATAAACATGCATAAAAAATTATTGTATTTTATTAATATATATTTGAAATTGAATTTTTTTAAAAGTTGTTTTTCTTGGAGTTTTTTAAAATTTATTTTCAAAAAATTCATTTCGAGGTGCCCCATTCCACGGCCTAATGGGTAATCCGGCTGACGTTTTCGCCATTTTCAAAATGAGCTTCGATATCGCTGGCTAAACTTAACCTACCAGTTGCTACCTCACAGCAGTTTTAAAAATAGCATGCTCGCGAAGAAGCATTTTATAATATGAACGAGCCTTCCAAAAACAGTGTAACGTCATGTCCAGTGCCTCTCCTGCCCTTGTCACCATATTTGTTGAGCAGTCACGATTTCAGCTGTTTGGAGGGTTTGTGTGTGGCACAGACCCCTCAAACCATGGACCCAAATTGTCAACGCACTGTGCAATCAGGTGGTTTCATAATGGCATAGACCGGGTCCTATGGTCTGATTGCAATCACGTGTTCCAAGACCACTTGTCATTCAGGGACTTCATGTACCGAAACAACGATTGATGGAAATGTACCATAACACTGGGCTTCTGGAAAATTCTAACAAACGATTCGTCAACCTAGATCGCCGGCATAAAATATAACATCGAATATTTATGGGTCACGGGGTGATTAGAGTTTTTAATAGATGCATATTTATTTTCGTTTTTTTAAAAACCCTTAAAGGTAATTTTTGGGGAGGTTGTTCATTTACGTCGCACTAGAACTGCACAATGGGCTATTGGCGACGGCCTGGGAAACATCCCTGAGGATGATCCGAAGACATGCCGTCACAATTTTGATCCTCTGCAGAGGGGATGGAACCCCGCTTTGGTGGCAGATGACCTGCGATTGAAGTGTAGAACAGTTTAACGAGGACCAATACCGCACACCCTCGGTCCCTACGCAGGCTGATCCAAGTGGTCACCCACCCGTACACTGACCGCAGCCAGTGATGCTTGACTTCGGTGATCTGCTGGGAACCGTGTCTTAACGATCAGTCCACTGCGGGACAATTTTTGGGGAGGAGGGTTTATAAAGTGCTAGATTTTTCCCTTTTCCAAAATATTTTTTCTTTACAAATCAATTTACATCTTTGATAAATATTTGCACATGTGCGTATACTGAGCTGGATTCTCGCATGAGCAAGCATTTTGCTAGAGATTCTCAATTTCACGCTTTATTTTCCACCCTCTGAAATTTTTTTTGAATTTTCGTTGGTCGCGGGAACAAACTAAACATTGCCAAATTTTTTCCTGAATAGTTTTATTTCTCTTGATTTCATCGTTGGTGAAGCGGAATCGTCTTCGTCACTGACAATTAATGCCCTTCTCGCGCTATTCTATTTATAGTTCAATATCATAATCTTCGATCACTTAGTACCTACATATCTCATGTAGATCTCTGGAGCAGTCAAGAATCACCAAGTGTTATCACTTTAAAATTTCAATTTAATTTAAGAAAGATAGGAATTAACTGAGATTTTACCTGTGGGATCATCCACTAATTGTATAAGTTTTTTAAAACTTTTGTTGTACTTCATTACTTTTTATTCAGGGAAGGGGGGGGGGGAGACAAACTGTTAATGGTCTTATGAATCGAGATCGGTGGCGGTATCATTATCTTTTGGGCACGCACATCCACCCCCTTAGAAAAAAAGTGTTGATAAAACAACCAATGCTTTTGGTAACTATATGTGTCATGTCTTAATATTTTCAATAATTCATTTGATGTTACTAAACCAAACCTTTTTTTGTACAAAAGTTAAATTTCTTGCCTTTTAAGATTTAGAATATAAAAATCATGCTTCATTTAATAAAAGTACAGTATGCTTTAAAAAAAAGTTCTTGAGTTTGAATAGATAGACTTTGATTTTGAATAAAAATAATGTTTTCTCCTTTTACCAAATAAACACTTAGTTCATCATATGAATAAATTAAAAAAACTTTTGATAAATATAAAACTTTTGAGCTCAAATTTTGATTATGAGTGGATTCAATAATTAAAAAATTGTCCTTATTTTTAAATAAATTTTTTTTTTTTAAACTTTAAATGAAATATGATACAAATTATACATAGTGTGTATGAATACATTTTTATGTATGATCCGTGTATATGAATACATTTTTTTACTCCAAAACAATATTTATCGAATTTGTACAAACAAATTTTTTATTACAAATTCCGATAATAAAATCTCTTAAGATTTGGTAGTTTTAAAATTAATAAAACTATCTATTATATGCTAACATAAAATTTTGATTACTGGTTTGGTTTCACAATGTTATCGACATTTACTATTTAAATAAGTTTGTAACATTTTTCAATGAAAGCACAGAATTTTTGATTTCCTTGATATGTACTATAAAATCGTTACTTATTTTGTTTTGTACTTTTTAAAATCAAAACTTTTTACTTGTTTCTTTAAACTGAAATACTTGTACTTTTCTCGATAATTTTTAAAAGTAATCTTCCCCTTGTATGTGCAGGATTCAGGTGATGATCACACAAACACTGGTGTGATAATAGATTCCCCAGTAGGACCAATGACTAAATTTTCGTAATATCTACTATCAGTTCTAACTATGAAAAATTCAACTGTCAAGAAAGTTGGGATAAATGTGCACCTTCGGAAAGGGGATAATTATGTGGAAAAGCTTTAAAAAATAATAAATTAACATACATTTTGGAAGATGCTAGGATGTTTAGAGCAAATTTTCTTGATAAAATGCTCTAAAAAAGCTTATTAAATTTAAGGGAAAATCTTAGCATCAAAGGATTCATAACAATATTTAACTTGATATTTTAATTGCCTTAATATGATCGCAATTGTTCTTTATTCTCAATAGTTATTTGTTGTTAAAGTTTTCTAACTAAAAACTTCATTGTTAAATTTGTTAAAAAATTGTATTTTATTAAGACACTATTTCGCTCTAACCGATTTACCTAATAGAAAATTAAATTTCCTTTGAAAGAATACCAGTAATTTAGTACCAGATTAAGTCGTTGATATGGAAGCCCCCTTTGACTGGATGCTTTGGCTTCCATCTGTGCAAGCCACTATCATAACAATTAGAAACTAGGCAATAAGCCTCCTTAAATTTATGTGTGGATAATAAAGAGGCTTATTTGTTAAAAAACAATTTATTTGAATTCAATTGATTTACATTATTAGTTTATTTACTTATTACTACAATGTTTTGAATTGTCTCTTAAGATTTCAAACGTAAATTTTTAATATCGACTAATAACATACATAAAAAAAGTAATAGAAAGTTTGAAAACTATTTAACATTTAAAGTAACGAAATAAACAACTACAAAACACATTGTGTATAAATTATTGAGACAAAATATTGCTTGCAAAATTAAAAACTGTCTGCAGCTGTTTTGATTTTAAAAATCCACTTCTAGATCTCTACAGGCATTGTGTACGTCACCTTTGAAAGCAAGAGCAAATCGCTTTTGAAGCTCTTGTACCGATAAAGAGGAAAATAAAAACAAGAAAAAATAATTCAAAACTTCATATCAATTCAAAATTTCTAGAAGACGCAACAATAAGTTAAAAGAACAGATACAAATATACAAAATATTGTGAAACAAAGAAAAATTTGTTTTTAAAAAAAATCAATAATTTGAACATGAAATTAGATGAGGTGTGAATTCATAAAAGTATGATTTCCTGACCAAAGAGTAGGGAGTAAAATTCCTTTTCAATCAATATTTTCTTTCTTTAAATTATAACTTTCTTTCACATTGACTTTTCTTAAAGGTTTAGGATTACAGCCTGCATAATTGTTGAATAATATAAATAACACAGTTAGAGAGATTTTAAAAACACTCTATTAATAAATTAAAGATCATGTTGATGGTACTTCGATTAAGACATCAATTAAATCATATTTTCATCTATTTCAAAAGTCACAAAAATGTCTTGAACTATCAATATATCTTCAACTAGCAGAACTAAAATATGGGAGTCAAATTGGCAGAATAATCTTAAATCTAGGAAACAATAAGAAATTATTAGAAAAACTGTTGATATTAATAATGTAAGGTATGTCCTTTGCATTTCTCAAAATATGGTAAATATACAAATTTTACCAGAGTTTCTTCTTTAATACATCAATTGCAAAATAAATTTCAAACCTTGTTAGAGAAATGTAAAATTAGAGATAAATCTTTTCATGAGTAAGAGTTAAAAAATACGATTTTATACTTAAAATGTCAATTATCCATTTTAATACATGTAAAAAAAAAAATCTAAATTTATTAACTTTTAATAGGGTTCATTTTTCAAAAAAAAAAAAAAAAAAANAAAAAAAAAAAAAAAAAAAAAAAAAAAAAAAAAAAAAAAAAAAAAAATCAAATCTTTAAATCTAAAATCAAATCTTCTTAATAACATTTAAAACAAACATATTTTATACAGCATTAAAACATAAAAAGTAAAAGAACTATATTAATATTTAACATTTCATCAAGTGAACAATATTCAATCCTAACTATTTGGCAATTTAGATCATATAAAATTGAGAGAGAGAGATTCCTGTAGCAAAGAATATAATCAGTAATAACACTTAATTGAATACCATCAGAGTGAATAAAATAATGCATATCAAATATACGGAAAAAAAAGCTTTAACTCTAAATGAAAAATTAATGAACCATTCACAAGAGGGGGGGGGGGTCAAGAATTCTTCTGTTTTCAAAAATTTATTATAGTTGTCATCCCTAAGTAACAATCGGCACTTTTTGTATAACATAAAAATAAGAAAGCAATTTACTTAGGCAGGGAATCTCCACAAAATCTATAATTATTTTTAAAGTCATATAACGGACTAGAACATAATTAAATTTCCATTCAGGCTGTGGCCCAGTGACATGCAATTCAAATAAAAACTTTAATTGCACCACTTGGAAAGTAGTTATACAAATGAGTTTTTAGAATGTGAATAATGCAGCCCTACTGATTGGTCATTTCATTCATTATTAATATAACTCTGTAATTCAATCAACTAGATGATAATCAACAATTGCCAGATGAGGATTTGTCTCTATCCGAATGGCAGCACCAGTAAAGGGTATATGGGGGAAGGTGTTGTTCCTTTGACAAACTATATATCATTGGGGAGTGCTTCTGCAAGAGCCTGCAATATAAAAATGCAAAAAGTTCAGAGTTTTAAAAAAATGTGGCACAATGTCAGTAAACTTGTGATATTGAAAGTATACTAGTGATTTTGAGATATTGAAAGAAATTTGGTTTAAGGTAAAAAACAGAAGGGATTATTTCCCAATTGCTTAGGAGGAGTCATTGTTAGAAAAATTCGCTGAGCTTATCAGTTAATTTACTGTATGTTTAAAAATAGTATGAATTTTTTAAAATGTGTTTTAGAAATAGAATGTTTGCTTTTTTTAATATATAGGGGGTGGCCAAAATAATGGAAACTCTTCTATACTATTAAATTTTTTCATATTTATCAAGAAATATGTTCAAAGGGGGAATAGCAGAAAGGACATATGATTTTTTTTAAAAAATGAGAACAAGCAGGAAATAATAGGGAAAATAAAAGGTCTACAATAATCTTGCATAAATCTACTATAATCGTTTATTTTGTAAACAAAATGTTTTGCATTCTTGTGGAAAACATTGTCATAAAAAATACAATAAGGAATGAAGAGCAATAACCGTGTTCGGTGATAGTTAACTAATAGAGAAACTAATGAATTAGATAAAAAAATTTTTTAAACTTTATTTATTGTTTATTAAAATTTGACAAAATTTGAAATTAAACGTAATTATTATTCTAAATAATTACGTTTAATTTCAAATTTTGTATTAATTTAGTTTATAATTTATGTTTAACTTATAATTTTGAATACAAGCTTTAAAAGTTTTGTAATTGCACAAAGTTAGACTTTTGGTCCTTTCTCTGTTGCAGCAATTTTAATTCAGCATGTTAAAATAATAAATCTACAACTTTTTATTTCAGTATGAAAAAAAAAAAATTTTTAAAAAAAATTTTTAAAAAAAATATTTTTAGAGAATATGATATAAGTGGAAAGAAAGATGTTATTGAATTTCAAAGTTTTTTAAATTCTGCTCCACCCATGATATTGGACAACTTTGCATGACATGAAATTCTGAAATAGGTCTTTTTATTTTTCCCCAACTTCACTTATGAATTGACGGTTGATTAAAAAAAATATATGATCTATACTTACTTTTAAATTCCATATGACCATTTTACCATCAATTCCTGTTGTACATAGTTTAGATACACCAGTTTTAGAGCCAGCATAGATTTGTAGGCTTGTTACAGCATTTTGATGAATTGTGTCTAACAATGTATCAACACTATTTTCAACAATGGCACGTTTATCCATGTCACGGAATTTTCTCATAGCACTGAAATTAATGAATGAAACAAATCTAATTATAGAAAATAAATGGTCGGGTAAAAATAAAATTTTATAGTTAAAAAAATAATTGCACTAAACACGATTCAATTAATAAGTATCTATTGCTTGTACTATTGGAACCCTATTAACCAGATCATGGCCATCCCTTATTTTGAGAGTCTAATACTTTCATTCTTTCACTTATTCAAAAATCTAAATTTGTTGAAAGAAAGTAAGCTTATGTAGAGAAAATACGATGTCTCATTTCAAAACTTAAAATATTTTATGCACTTATTTTATTTTATAACCGTCATAGAACTGTTGATCTAATTTTGGGTTTACGACTACAAATGTTCAACTCCGTAGCCTTGTAATTTTGAACCCAATCCAGAAGACAAAGGAATTCCTAGGTGAAATTTGGACTTTTGGGGAACTTACCCATATTTGCATTACATGGAGAGGAAAACCACGAAAACATCCCACTGCTAGCCTGACAGCAAGGGGATTCTAACCCATGATCCGCTTACCACTAAGGATATTTTACATTAGCACTGTGGTCGGTGCGAGCCGAGTGTGGAATCCGTATAGACTAGCCATCGCTAGGATTCAAACCTGGTTCATCTGATTGGAAGGCGTACATTCTATCCTCTGAACTACCATCATCTGACTAGCATAATTGAGGTGAGACCCTCAAACCATTATGATTGAGTCCAAGTAGGTGAAAATTCAAACATTATGTTAAAAGTTATTTGAGGTCCTTTATTCATTTTGAACACTGTACAAACTTTAATCTACAATCTGCTTCACTTGAAAGGAAGTTTCAGCTTCATCAAAAAGGAAAACAATATATTTTTACAAGTTAGAATTTATAGACATTCATTTTTAATAAAACTTTTTAATCACCAATCACATTACTAAACCATTATTTTAATTGGAAATTTCATTTATTTTAAAGAGATGCAATGCAAGTAACAGGAAGAATTCTTAACCAAATAAAACTTTAAATAATAAAGGTAAACCAGGTAAGTTTTTCTGAGAGTAAAATAATGAGAGTTTTAAAAACTCATTACTTCCAAAATTATTTATATCTAAGTCTTTGCACTGATTGAGAACATGAATACAAAACAGAGCAAGGCAGTCATCAATAATAAAACTTAACAGAAATAACAATGAAATAAAATTTAAAAAACAATTACATACCTAAATCCATCAACTTCTCTTTTCTGAGATTTATCTAATTTAGTTACAAACGTTAATTTCATTCCATCATATTGAAATAACATCGGACAACAATCATGGCCCTGAAAAGAAGAACAGTTACAGTTTCATGGTGAAGCCACTTTGCATGTTTCAAAAGCTGCATTTAAAATCTCAATAAACTTATTATGTCATTGTCACCAATATTCCTTTAGTTTATTATCTAATATTGCTAGATCTACATTTTGCCACATTCAGTAGGCTCTTGATTATCTTGTTTAATAAAAAGTCAGGCATTTTAGAACTAGAAGATCTAACTCTTCGTGGAGGGATGAAAAAAATGAGGAATGCAAAAACAGTCTGCTGCCACTCCCCTATCAGCCTAATGTGTAGCAAAACTTGTAAAAACAAACTCTTCTTCGGTGATTCCATGGTGACTAACATTACATTTTGATATACTTTCCATTTTTAAACCTTTTTTTTTGCTGATAAATATCGAAAAAAAAATTTTTTTTTTTTAATTATATTGGATGCTTTTTTAATATATTGATATTGTTATGCATCTAAGAAAAAGGAATCAAAATTATGAATGTTTATATTTAGAGTAAAAATATAAAATCTGACTGGTACTACATAATAAAACATCATATTTTTACTTTAAATTTCGAATTAACTGGAAACATTAAAAATATACATGAAATTGCACATAGAAAATTGCAAATAGAGGAAAACCCCTTGTGACTGATGCTACTAATGCAAATTATAATAAAATTTTAATAAACTTTTTTTTCTTATTATAAAACACATAAAAACTACCATTTTTCATTTCACATATTAAATAGTTAATAAGAACTTAAGAAATTTGTTAATGGAGAGATGCTGTTGGAGAGAATATGAATTGTCATTTCTCTTAGAACATTTTATTCAACAAACATAAAATTAGTATAACATGAACAAACTTGAACATTAGCGGTCGTCCTACGATCAAGCTAGCTAGTGGAGAGGTTGAAAAGGTAAGTGGCAGTTCTTCACCTGACGGATAATATTTTTCACAAGGTTACTTTTACCTGAAGATCTTATCTCACCATGCTGGTGACAAGACTGGTGAAAGTGGCGAGGACCACACTATTAAAGGCTTATTTTTTTGTTATCCTTTGTATCATGGCATTGCCCATCTCTAGTTGTACAGTTTATTAAAAAACAATAAGTATTTTTGCATTACGCATGAGCAACACATGTTATCAATTACAGGGTAAAGGGAGTTAAAAGTGGAACTCCACCCTGCCAATCTTTTCTGTTCATTGGCCTACCCTACCTCTATATTACATTGAATAGTCTGAATTTTGTAGGAAGAGAAATATTGATTTTCAAAAAATACCAACCTTTAAACTAGAAAAAATTAAATGTTAAATAAGAAAAACATGAGCAGATTAAAAAAAATAAGAACACTTACAGCAGCGACTATAGTGGAGTTAGAAGTCCAGGCACATGCAAGATAGGGAAGGAACTGGGTTTTTACAGTAATTAACCTGTTAAACAATAAATGGTTATGTTAGAAGAAACAGGAGAGAATGTAACTTTTATGAACATTTAGATGGATTAATTTAATTTTCATAATTCTTGCTACAGTTACTTAAGAGTAAAACAGGAAATTGTTAATTGTTTCAAAAATACATCATCTTTTAAACTGAAAATAAACTGCTTTGGCACTTTATAATAACTAAACTAGCAGCAAATCAGACTGAGACTTAATTAAAAACATACTTAATTTAACATTTTCCTCATGTAAGTGTAGTTTAACCAAAATATTTTCAAATTTTTATCAAAATTTGGATAGGTGATAAAATTTAACGTTTGCAACAATCTTTTATGGTAACATCCCCTTTTCACAAAATTGCATATTTGAGGAATGTTAATATTTAGTCGGTGGCTTATGCATTGCCTTTATCTAATTTTTCTGAATGTCAATTTAAAATTTTTTTTATTTTATTTCAGTCAACTTATTTTGGAGGAATTGAATATGCTACCTCAGTCAGATTTATTTTCTATAATTCTTTATTTGTGTATATATACATATTTAATAAAGTTTCAATGTTTTAGGTGGACGATAGATTAGGTTTATATGAAATTCAGTTTTCTTTAAGGTTAGTCAACTTTTTTTTCTTCTTATTCTTTATATACTTAACAGATGGCTTTTAACAATTGTGTTACACAATAAAAGGAATGAAGTATTGAATTTTCTCTAATAGTCCTTAAGAAAACTTTAGGAAACCAATAAGTAGTAACATTTTATAAAGAAGAAATTAAAGATGTAAGCTTACGCCATATTTTTTTCTGCGTCACATATAGAAACAGTACTGTCATGGCTGACCCAAACAAGTTTTGATCCATCGGCGGAAAAGCTAACACAATGCACCCATCCACCTGTAAATTAAAAAAGAAAATCAGAAGAGTTTCTATTGTGTAGATGTATGCAATACACAAAATGTTCCAGATTTTTTGCAGAGAATGTTCTAGGTCTCAAAAAATAAAATGTTAAAAACTAAGTAATTAAATGAACTAAATGAAAATCCAACTCAAAATTCATCTATCACTTGCATGAAGCTATCAGGTCATAACGAGAAAGCCCCCACCAAAAAAAGTTCTTAACAAAGTTAGAGTAAAAAAACAAACATAAAAGCAGTATCTTCAGTGTGATCACCACTCTACATCGAGGATTTTCTGCTAACGTATTGGTAGAAATCCAAAACCTACAACTCCAAGAACAGATAGGCTGCATTTTCGAGTCCTGTGCTGAATCAAAGATAGTATCAGTAAGGTGTAGCTGCAGGTGTGAGGTCGAAGTCAGAGTGAGTAATGTTGGGGCTATATGGTAGGTGTGATAAAAGATCTTATTTGAGCCAATAACAAGTCAAACAGGCATATGCAAACACATGTAATCTTGCGTTATCTAGATGGAACAGTATCTTTTCACATTCGAACTCGAAAAAAAAATCTGTTACTTTACCATAAATATTTGAATTTTAGAAATTTGATATAGTTTGTAAATTTTTCTCTTGCTTGCAACCAAAAATTCAACTTTAATAATACAACAATACTTAAAGGCTCTTAAAGGAATATAAAAAAAAAACCCTTCTCTTAGGTATCAAATTCAAATTTTAGATTTAAAGTCAAAATATCAGTTCAAAATCAAATGTTTGTAGCATCAGTACTTCAAGAGTTTTATTTTCAGATTTCATGAGATTCAATGAGATGTTGTGGACATTATTTCATTTAATTGGTATTATGACACTAATTCAAGACAAATAATGATGTTTGAAAAAGAGGAATGAATGTGTTTAGGTTCCACTTCTTTTGACTATGAAAAAAAGAAGCATGAATTTGTAAGTGACTGATAACAGAGTAATAATGAAATATGTAATTGCAATACTTAGGGAGCAATACAAGATAAGTATTTATTCATACTCAGAGTTTTTCTCTTTTATTAAAACTGAGAAGAAATTTTTTCTAATAAGGTTTTAATGGGGTGTTATACTATTTTTTATGTCATTTGACAATGACAGAACTTAATTAATTAGTATAATATCACTTGCAGCTCATTGATTCTCTCTTGCAAAAAAAGTTTTTAAAAAAAAGAGAGAACTATACATACTATTTGAAAATTCTGCCATGACATGTCCAAGAGGCATTTTGAAACCCCAAACAGTTGGTTCCGGTTTACTATCAATCTCTTTAACATATGCAGAAAAAACCCTGAAAATATTTAAAGTCGTTAAGAAATTTTTGAAGTCTGTATTGATATTAGAATGAAATTATTATATTTTACCTAGTTTTAAAATCTGTAGATCCGCAAGCGAGTAAAACGTTATTAGGATGCCAGTCAAGGCTAAAATGGAAACAAAATTATTAGGCTAGTATTACAATTAACAATTATTAAACAAAAACTTATCAATAAACAAATTTATTTAAATTAATAATCAAATTAAATTAAATTAATAATAACAAATTAAATTAAAAACCTTTAACAGGGAGATTATTTAAGCTTGTCTTTTTTATAATACCATTACAATTTGAGCTAGGATCTTGAAATTTGGACAGTACCTAGAGGAACAGTTTTAGCTCCCATAATGTGAAGCTTTTCAAAGCAGTACTTTCAAATATTTTAGAATTAGATAAATATTTAATAAAAGGACAACAATGCAACTAAAAATATCAGGAAGGTTTAATCTTCTAGTAAGAAAACCCTAAAATTAGAACATCTTCAAAATTATATGTACAATGTTTCAAAACACTATATTTTTAATAATTATTTTAACATGTGAAAAACTGATCAAATTTTTTTTTTTTTAATCATTAATGAAGAGTTAAAAGAAGTTCAAAGAAAGATTACGTAAATTAGAAAGAGACCCTGGAACCAAATATATATATTTTGAGAAGTAGCTTTATATATATATATATGAATGACTTTAAAAAAAAAAATTGGTCACATAATCATCTTCAGTTACCTAGTAACAGTAGATTTTATAGGCTTCTTTATATGTTTACTCAACCACCAATCATTTTCTTCTTCAAAAAAACACACAGATATCAATCTTGCTCCACAGCCAACGGCAAACTTAGTCTCTATACAAGGATAAATCAAAGAAATTCATAAAACATTATAAAAAATAGTCAAGATAAGCACTGCAAAGAGCACATGAATAAATATATCATTAAAAATATAAAGGAAATCTACAACTGGAAAATGTAACAAGAAAGGAGGTTATATTAATATTTTTTTAAACCTTCTTATTTTTGGAACTTAATTAAAATATTTAAAGCGTTTTATCAGACTTTTTTTGAAATGAAGATTTTCTGCAAATTTTTCGTATGCAAGAATATTCATAAGGAGTTATCCTATCAGATTTAAAGCACCACTTGCACTTGTGAAGTAACCATTAAAAAAATACTTACTAAAAATAGGAGAAAACTTTATGAATCCTGAGAAATTTATTTTATATCCTTTCTAAAGAAGGTATCGCATATTGTAGTTTATTCAGAAATGGCAAGAATTTTTCATGTTGGGAGAAACTTCAAGAAAAATCGCCACTGAAGAAACAAGTTACTTTCATTCCAAGTGGATATCAAAAACTTTTTTCTAATAAAGAAGTTTTTTTAAAAAGTTTAAAATTGTAATCTTGTTTAAATAGTAGTATTAATTTTCAAACTATTAAATATAGCAGAAGAGATTTACCATTAGGTGACCACCTAACACAAGTTGCAGCTCGGTTTATTCGAAGTAAAACTAGAGTAGGTTTCCATTTATCATTAGCTTTTGTCCAGACATATGCGTTGCGATCCTGCAAAAATAACACAAATGTTAAAATAATGGGTTACTTCAGTGTAACATATGATGCAGGAAACATCAATCAAGTAGGAAATCTTAACCAAGTTAAATATCCTTTCTGAATTTGATTATCAAATACCAACTGTATAATCAGTTAATGATTTGAAGATGCATTTATTAATTAAAATATAAATTACTTTAAATTTTTTTTTCTTTCATTTTATTAATTTAATAACCAATTTAGATTATAACAAAATACAGTTTGGGTTCCCTTTTACCTGTAGTTTTTAAACATTCTTTCAAACCTGATGTTAGATTGTATTATTGAGTAGTCGATAAGTAATATGGGGGTTAAAAAATATGGCCAAAATAATAGGGGTTAGTCGCAATCAGGGATATATGGACATTGAATTTCAAAGATCTGACTTTTGTGAAATTCAATTTCTCAGGAGCTTTTCAACAGATTTTGCTCAAATTTTGTATTTTGCCATTAAAAATTATATTCTTCAAAATTATGCAAAAATTTTTATATCTTACAAATCAATTTTTTTCTCCATGGAATTATCTTAGGATAAACAAATTTTATAATTGTGTGCAATAATTTTTCAGTTCGCTTAAAAAGTTTTTGAGATACAGAGAAATATGCGAAAAATAAAATTAACCTTAATGGATCCAAACTTTGGACTACTCCACAGACAAAACTGTACAATAGTTCCCAGGCTGCGACTACCCCCAACATTTCAGGGTTAAAAATTTGAATCCATCAACAACAAAAAAAAGAAAGTACGTTTATTCCGAGAAAGTCTGTTTCTGAATTCATTACTTAAAATATCCTCTGCATATTTGAGGTTACCTACTCGAACTAGTAAGATAGAGTCAGAAAACTTGAAGATCCAATCATTAAATCAAATGTTATTAAGGAGTGATGTTTTCTTTTACTTATATTTTGAGCACAGTACATTTTTTATGTAAATTCTTTAAACTATCCTAAATTTGCGACATCAAATTTTGCTATACACATGTTTTCGTAAGCCTTATTTTTACAATAGTCTCCGTTGGAAATAATTTAACTAATTAGTCGGATCATCCCTTGTATTAGGCTCTTTCCTAACACAATTAAAATTTAAGTTCAAGGTTATGTTATATTTCTAGAGGAGTACAATACTTTTGTATAGCTTATTAAGTATTAATTAAGGAGTAGGATGCGATATGCTTTCTTCCCTTTTTTTTCCTTCTAGAAATGGGGGGAACATTTATGGAATTTTGTTCCGGTTTTCTGGTTTCCGGATAAGAGGTTCTGTACTGTACTATCTGCAATTGCTGTGAATGTCTGTCTCAATCAGGGTTGGGTTTTTGCCGTCAAAAACTGGTTTTTGACATGACAGTGGTAAAAACCGTGTTTTTACCGGTAAAAACCGTCAAAAACCTACTGTTTTCTTTAATTTATGGCATATAGCGGACAATATATTATTTTCACATAATTGCCTTTATAAATGAATGTTGTAAATGATTGCTATTGATTTTGCAACTATATACATGTATTCTTATAGAAGGATATACATTCATACAGAAATATTGTAATATACTTATTGAAAATAGTGATACTTACTTTTATCATTATAGCTTGATTTGCAAAGGATTCAAAATTTTGCACTTCTTAATTGTTAGAAATAAACAAACAAACAAAAAAGCTTGGAACTATTAATAAATTCAAGAACTAAAAAGAAGAATTTAAAATTTGGCATTTCTTAAATATTAGAAATAAGCTAAACAAAACTTTCAAAACTTGTAACTACTAACAAACTCTAAGTCAAGAATGACTTGACATTCTTCAGTAATGTAATATGCCAAACAAAATGATGCTTGGAAATGTTGAAAATTTTGTTTAGTATCCTAATATTTTACTTCAAATAGTATGTTTTGATATAATCATGTTGGGAAAATGCAAGAATCTGTTCTTAAATATCTTTTAACAACTTTTTTTCTAATTTTATTGCCCAAAAATGAATTAATTTTAAATTATAAGCAGTTAAACTCAAATAAAAATACAGTTTTACCAAAACTATGGGTTTTTGACAGTTTTTGACAGAGGGGTTTTTGACATGACGGTAAAAACCATGGTAATAACCGGTAAAAACCGTCATGTGTCAAAAACTTGCCAACCCTGGTCTCAATATTTTGGCATGCGGCCCTTCATTGGTCAATCTGCTGTGCATGCAGCCCTTCACTCAAAAAGTTTGTGCACCCCTAATTTAGGCATTAAATGTTTATTTCCTTTTTAAGTGTTGTTGTAATAAATATTCAAGATCTGTTATTATACTTTTTTTTTTATCATATTTACAAATTTATGAGCAAAAGGGAATATTTTTGTTATTATTATAAATATTAATCATGAGTAACAAAATTTATAACTGCTTGGCTAGGTAGAATTATAGGAAAATAAGTTTGTGCACAAAAAAAAACTGCCTTACACTTCATCAGTAAAAATTAAATAAGAAACAAACAGAAAATAAAAAACTTACTGCTGAACATGTGACAATTCGATTAGTGTTAGGCGCCCAGTCAATGCTTGTCACACGCAAATCATGCTGTGTCAAAACATTTTTACATGACCAATTATCCCCTTCTCTTTTATAGATGTGCACTTCATTGTTATTAGGCGAGAGAGCAATTTCTGCAAAGTTTAAATAAGAACATTAAAAATGATTCAAGTATTCAATCATAAAATATTAAGCTTATAAACTAAGTCTTAAAATACCTAATTTCTATACTTACCAAAGTTTTAATCTTTGAAAAAAGTCAGATTTATTTGATTTAAACCAGTTTTTTAAATACTCCTTTTTTTTTAAATAAAGATATTCTAACAATAGTTAACGTTAATAATAGTTTTAATATCTAGTTAACTTTTATAAATACAATTAAAAACTTATAAATAATAAAACATAATACAGTATAATTTAAACATAATGAAAATAGAATAGGAATGTATCCTAGAATAAGAAGCTAAAATAACCAAATCATAAAATTAATTTCACAAATCAGTCCTTTTAAAACCTTGAAATAACAAATAAAAAAAATTGTATTCCTTTTTACTGGTAACACCTGTTTTAACTGTAGGCTGACAATTACGTTACATGGAAAAACTTAACATACCTATTTATTAAAAAAATAATCGCATTATAAATATTGATTTATTCTTACAGCATTCTTTATACCACTTCAGTATTACAATCACAAAATTAAAATAAAATCTGATTTAAAAGATTGTGTGTTTTGAAACTTGGAATTGATACGAATTTTATTACTATGATTTTTGCCAAAAAATTTATACCCAATAACTATTTTTTTAAGGGGCAAGAAAAAAACTTCATTAAATTTTTACTTTATTTTTTATTTACATTCAGAAAAATTCGAAAGAATTATACGATTTTAAAGTGTATTTCAAAAAAGCTGTAATTTGTTACAAACCAAGTACCTACCAATGTAATTTTTCTACTTGAAACTTATTAAATACAGCAATCATTACACAATAAATTGTAAAACTATGAACATCAATAAAAGAATTTAACCAACTTATCAAAATATTTTGAAATTCTTTTAAATTGACAACAGTTTTTTTTAAAAAAAACATTTTATCATTAAAGTCAATGAAGCTTGATACTTACGTGTCCTGTCATTGTTCCAAGCATGGCAGGTTATTGGATCTACGCCAAAACTGTGAATTTCCGTCATCGGTTTTTCAGTTTTAAGTTCTAAAAAAGTTAAATTAATTAATCGAAAAATTTTAAAAACACATACATAAAAACTACGGACTAGTAGTTGAGATTTTTAAAAGGTTACTTTTAAAAGTTAGCTAGAAAGGTTCAAAGGCTACTTTAAAAAGTTTGATTAGTCGAGTTTAGTTGGGGTACTTTTATGGACATTTTCCAAAAATTTTATAGGACATTTAAGATTTTGTTAGGCTATAACTAAGTTACACTACAGTTTATTAAATAACAATTGTCTTGTAAAACTGAAAATACATATTCTGTATAGCATATTAATCAATATGTATTACAGTTTGATAAGTCATATTTAAGACAAATATAAGAATGTTCCTACCCATACATTTAAATACATAAAACAAATGGTCTGCATAAAATTATAGTAGACTCTATATTCTATAACAATTTTGTTCTAATTTGATTCTATAACAATTTTATAAGAAAAAAAAATTTATTTGATAACTTCCTAATTTTTTTACCTAATTTTAACCGAAAACTGTTTTTTGCCATTAATTTTCAAATTGGCACTTTACATTTTAAGGCAAAGAGTTAGAAGCATTATTTAATTTTCAGTCGCTTCGCATTTTCAAATTTTGAAGATGGCTTTTTCAGATTTCAAATTTTGTAACTCTACTATACCAGATTATCAAATAAGAACTCAATATCTTAAGGACTGGAGTTTGGTCCTAGACTCACCACTTTGTTTCTCGACATTTTTCCAAATTAATTTTGTATCTAACAGTTTGTTCAGATATTAAATTATATGCAACAGTCACAATATTTTGAGCTACTGCAGTTGTTCTCAATCTTTCTGTTCCATATTTTACTAGTATTTCATTATGACAAGTTATTTTTAACTTGTTATTCTTTTCACTAATCTGCAAATCAAAATAATTTTTCATTAGTTCTAAGTCTTTATCTTATCATAAGTAAAATTATAAACAGTTAATTGGACACCCAAAAACTAAGTAAAATGTGTTGTAGGATCAATTGTTTTGTACAAAACTTAAATTATTTTGTTNTAATTTGTTTATAAAAATCTAAACCATTAAAAAGAACATTCTCAAAAAGATTAAACTTGCATAAATCTAACCAGTTAAACCTATCAATTTTTTCATCAAATAAATACTTGTCATAAATACCTTCACAAATCTCAATAATTTTTTCATGTGGTATGCTGGTATACAAATTTTCAAAATCAAAAGTGTTAATGCTGGAAATATCATTACTTTTAATAAAATCCAAAACTTCAACATTACTTTCAATAATAATATTTTTTTCTTTTTTAATTTTAATCAAAATAATTTTTAAAAAACAAAAAAACCTTTTACTAATATCAGAATTATAACTATTAGTACCACATGCTATAAACCTAAATTTAATTGGAAATGAATACATTATATGGCTTAAAGTTTTTAGTAACTTCAAATGTAATTAGTAAGCTTGTAATTCTATTAATAATACATTTGATAACATTTTATTAATTTTTATATAACTAATTATAATTATAAAACTAGTTCCCACTGATTGCTAGGTGTAAAATATTGAAAGAAAATACAGTAGTTTCATTTCTTAAGAAATTAGTAAATTTTCTTTTTAGTCCTTGCAGTTTAGTAACAAGCCCTTTAAAAATAATACATGAAATTGTTTGAAAATTAATACTGTAAATTAAAGTAAATTGTAATTATAAGCTATTAAAAAGAATTTTATAAGCTAGTTCTTTTTTCAAAAAAAGTGTTTCACTTACTTGAATTGGAAATAACCTATTTTTTTTATTTGAGGTAATTTTTTTTATTCAGGAAGAAACATTTCTTCCTTGTTTGTAGTTATATTTTTCAAATAAAATGCAGAGGTCAAAATTATTTAATTTTAGTCATAGGTTCGAAAGACCAGTAACCAAAAAATATTACTAATCTATACACATTTTCACCAGTTTGATGATGTATGCATTTCGTATATATACATTTTAAATTTGCAATCGTGAGAATTTGTGGTCAGATTTATGATGAGACAATAACAAAGGCTAAGACCAAATCCTTACCATCCCATTACATTGATTGCTTGTTCGGAGACCTCTTATTATTATTTTATTGTGGCTTTAATTTAATTGCGGTGGTCCTGGACCAAAAGACCACTGTTAATGTAGAGCCCTGACATTAAAAAAAAAGAAAGAAGCTAATTACAAAATAAAAAGAGAAACTTTACTTTTAGCATTTTGTAAGTCTCATAAGAAGGATATGAAGAGTTTTGATTAGAAAGAAACAAGAAAAAAAAGTGCCCTGATCTACATCAAATCGATAAGTAAATTACAGTTGGGTACTTCATGACTTTATTTTAGCATGCAACAAAAAAAGAAGTTAATATAATTACAATTTTTTAAATGATTATACTGTTTATTGCTGGGTTATGAATGATAAATCAAACTTCATTATTTATCTTTAGAAAAATAATGAAATAAATCCCGTTATAAATAAGTTCGTAAAAGTGAGAAAATAAATTGTTTATTATCAAGAGGACAACAAATAAAGAAAAAACCTAGGTGCTTGAATAATAGAGAGGCGGCTTACTTTATAAGTTCATAAACCGAAATTAAGACAATCCTAATGTATAGATAAAAAAATAAAATAAATCTCAAACAATTAAATTAGTTTTTTTAATGTAAATTTGGAATTTTTGACACAAACTTATCTTAAAAATCGGTATTTTCGCCACGCCCGCTGTGATTACATCCCACTGTGAATTTACGGAAGTTATCTTTCATGTAAGCCTATTAAAGGAAACATACAATTTTATACCAAAATCTATCAAAATAACAGAAATCAAGAAAATACACACTCTGTTACGAGAAATCTTCGATATTGCACAAGAAAACCCTAATAAAGTTTTAAAGCTAATTTTTTGACAACTTTACTTTACTTTTACAACTAAATAATTTAGAGAAAAAAAAATAAACAATTGTACACAGTTAAAGATAAACGAATTCGATATTAGATATTGGGTTAGTCGTAATATAATCCATTTACTCCAGTCAAACTGTTGTAGTTCGTAAATAAGGACTTGCTTTAAAAAAACCTATCTAAAAAATAAGCGTTTAAATGGTTTGCTCGCTTGAGAAAGTTGAATAACATCCCTTACCTTCCAAATTGCTTCTTATGTAACTTATGGCGTTCCCACGATTCGCACTGAAGGCGTTGACGCTTGAAAATATGAAATCTGATTGAACAGTTGGATATAACGTAGAATGAGCTATAAAATATAGAGTGAAGTGAAATGATTTAAGATTTCAAATTAAGCTTGTAAGTTTGTATTAAAGCGTAAAACGAATACTTAACACATTGTATTTTAACAGTAATGGGGGAAAAAAATAATTGTTGATAAATTTAAAAGAAATAAAAATTCTAATTTATGTTCCTGTTGCGATCAATTTAAAAGCACTTAAATGTTTCAAATCCCAAAGTTTTTTTGAACAAGACTTGAATATCAATCATTTTCTACTCTCAGAGCTTAAATGGCTTCTAGGAAACGAAGACAAATTGATGACTGTGAAATTGCTAACAGTGAATCAAGTGTTGAGACTTCAGTGCCCTTTAGAAAAAATCACCTTAGATTTGAAAGTGAGGGAGTAAAAGTTGAGAAATCAATCACGTTTGGTAATGAGCCTGAATATATAACAAGTCGATCCCAAAAAAGAGAAATTAGAAGTTACTTATTAGCACAACAAAGGAGAATCATTATTAAAGCTTCCCTCAATAGATTTTTTGAACAGCCTGATGTATTAAAATTTTTGTCATGCTTGTATAATTCGTCTGCTTCACTCAACAAACATGTGAAAAGAACACAAACCTTTAGTGTTATGAGAGAAACAATACGTAAATTAAAGAAAAGAAACAAAAAGTTGAAGTGTCATTGTAATTTTTGGAAAGGTATATCGTTTTCTAAGCATAAGCAATTAAGAAAACTGTTTCATGAAAATAAAAAACTTCAGTATATTTTGAATAAATCGTAAATTTGTAGAATATTACATTTTGCTAACAGGCAAAATTTGTTGCTTTTCTATTCTTTGTGTTTTATTAAAAAAGCAATGTATACCAATAAATATTGCTTATAGTGTGATTAAATAAAACATCAATACATATTTTCATGTATGATTAATTTTTTAATCAATATTTCCTTATTAGAAACTATTTGAGAAGTATTAAATTAACTGTAATGTGTGCAATGCTTTAAATGATTAGTTACATTCTACATTTGTTAGTTATTTGTTGTCTAGTTTTTGTAGAAATGCCTGTTTGTTTATTTTAAATGAAAAAAAAATATATGTATTTGTAAGCTTTGGCTTAACAAATTTTCTGCTTTTTATTTTATCTATGACAGTCTACTCTAAAAAATCCATTTTACAAAATTGCCAAATGTTTGAAAAGTTTCTTGAATTTTGAAATTGAAGTATTTAAAAACTATTTATNTTTTTACCTGGTTCCAAGACAGTGCAATAGCATAGACGGCATCTTTTACTGTAAACATTTTCTGAAAATCAGTCACGTCACAGTCGGCATTTAACAGGCCTTGAATAAAAGACCTTCTATAAAAGCATTTAAAATTTAGAATAACCCATGGGTTGAATCAAAGATGTTACGATAGGTGGGAGCAGAGTAGCAACAATATTTCCAGAAACTGACTCATCTACTGGCGGGTGGGCTTTGCAATTGTCCAAAAGAAGGAGGGATTTAGTACCGAGTGCTTCTGGATGATCCCAAACTACCCCGAAAACTTCCGAATAGCTCTCGAGCGTTTTTGTTTGCATTAAAGACACACTTTTGGAGAAAGCCAAAATTTTTACAATTTTCCAGAGTGATGCCGGACTATCAGGCATTCGGGACAGTTGGATGCCGGACTAATGGACTTCTACTGTATTTGTAAGCTTTGGCTTACTATACAAATTTTCTGCTTTTTATTTTATCTATGACAGTCTACTCTAAAAAATCTATTTTACAAAATTGCCCAATGTTTGAAAAGTTTCTTGAATTTTGAAATTGAAGTATTTAAAAACTATTTATTATACATAGCTGCCAACTCTAATGGATTTACCTGTAGACTTCTGAATTTTGTCTATTTCTACTGGTATAATCCTAGTTTTTGTAGATTTTAGAAAATTCCCTAAAATTGAGCAAGTTTTATTAAAAAATCCCTATTGAAATAGAATTTAATGATTACTTAAATATTTAAATAAGTATTACTAATGCATAATGAAGTGGGCCTCCTTTATAAGAATCAGTTTGAAACTTTTCTTTTTTTTAAACTTTTTGTTCTAAAATTTTTTGTCTGTTTTTATTCAGAATTTTCCTTTTTAAATTACTTAAAAAGTCTTTTAACTATCAATAATGAATAACTTGTCCATTACAATTCAAAATTATGAGTTAACATAATAATTTTTTTTTAATTCATCTAATATCAATCATATATGGAAAATATTGCTGACCGTTTATAGTTATTAGTGTGATAACGTTTTTCCTTTTTGATGATAGTAAAAATCCCTAAAGTTTTCTACGCGTAAAATTATTAGTATATTATACAAGAGTTATCCGTGGTGCATAGCGTTTTTAAAAAGTGCTTAAAGGTGCTTATTTTCCATTTTCGTTTTTTAAAAGCCCTTAAAGGTGCTTTTTCCATTGGGTGTTTTTAAAAAGTACTGTTAAAAATCAGATTTTTTTTCTTTTCTATGTCGATTTTCGCCACGTTTCATGCAAAATCATATTTTTCACTTTGTTCTATTCAAGATTTTCACAATTTGTTCAACCACTATCTATTTCGGCGTACTGTCGGTCCATACCCTATGAAAGCGTCAATCATTTTACATGTTTGATGAAATACTTGCGAGTCTGCATGTGCGTCTACTGAGCTGAGCTTGGTGAGATTCTTGCACTCTCTTGTGCAACTCTGCTTCATTTTGCAAGATATTCTCAATTTCAGGCTTCACTTTCCACCCTCTGATATCGAACTGAAAAAAATCTTGATCATTTTATAATGGCTAAGATAATCAAGAAAAGAGTTTTTTGTCAGAACCTAGTTGTATTATAATAATGATGTAAATTTTTTGAAAATTATTTTGCATTTTGTAAGTGTATATAATTTTTGAGTGCTTCAAAAGTGCTTATTTTTTGTTGAGAGATTTGGCTATGCACCTTGTTATCATGAAATTTATATTTTGTAAAATCACTGGATTTTTTTTCGGTATATGTTGGCAGCTATTAATTATAGGGTCATATTTTTAACATTTCTATGCATATTTTATTGATGCTTACTTTAGTGCAAACTAGCCTTTAAGGAAAAAAAAAAAAAAAACGTTTTTTAAATAGTTGACAAAATTGAAAACTGGCATCCAGAAATTGCATAATTTTTGTGTCACTGTATGGTATAGGAATTTTTTTTAAAAAAAATTGCATAGATTCATAACGTATGAATTTGTTTAAAATTTCTAGAAGATTTTGAAAATAAATATCACTTAGCTTCAAACATTTTAAATGAAGTTTAAAATCCAAACAAAATCACTAGAAAAGTGTGATTTTCTTAGCTCATTACTACAAAATTTTCTGTTTAGAGCAAGGGTTTCCAACTGGCTGCCCGAGGGCTGTATCCGGCCCGCTAAGCCTTTTTTTGTGGCCCGCGATCTAAAATATATTTCTTGTCATTTTTTGCGGACAATTTTCGTAAAAGACTATATGGGTTTAAAATACTTTTCCCGTTAATAAAAACCTACTTTCTTTGTTTCTGTGAAATTTAACATACCAACGGTGCAAAAAAAATTTATTTCTCAGGTTTTGCATCAAAGAAATTATTTATTCAAATACAAAAATAATCGTGTATGTTGCTCTTTTTTATTTTATTTTTTTGTATTTTGTGAATATAATTTAGCATGTGCGTATCAGAAATTAATTTAAAATGTAAATATCTATTCTCTGGTAGTTGCAGCAGACAAACCTCAATTTTCTCATTGAATATTTTGTGTGCTACTATGTAAGTTTTATTACCAACCTTTCTAAAGTTTTATATCTTAACAATTAGATATCTGTTGCACATTTGTTTAATACATAGGTGCACATTAAAGTTATTGTAGCCCGAAATTTTATTATTTATTTAATATTTTTTAAAATAATAAATAATATTATAATTTTATTATAATATAAATAATAAATAAATTTTTTAAAATAATAAATAATATAATAAATAATAATAATAAATAATAATAATATTTTTTAAAATATTTTTTTAAAAATCTACTTCTTATTTTGATTTGTAATTCAATACTTATGTTTTGTACAAATTGGTAAAAATCTGCCCTTAATATTTAATGTTCCTTCAAACATAAAAGAGTCCTGCATAAAATTAAGATAAAGTTGCGGCCCGCCACTTGATTTGTGTTTTTAATTGTGGCCCCCAGCCTCATGTAAGTTGGAAACCCCTGGTTTAGAGCATTAAAAATTTTATTAGACTTTGCTATTTTGTTTAGGAAAAAAATTGTATTTCTAAAACAAAATAGAAGGTCCAAAATCTATATAAATTTAGAAATGCCCCAATTATTCTTAAAGTAGAAAGAAATTCTTACATTTCTGTTATTGGTGCAGCCATTAGGGGGTTAAAAACCCCTCACAAAAATCATTCTGAAGAATTAAATCAACTGCCAATTGATCATAAAAAAGATTGGATTCTTAAGAAACTGTCTCCATGGTTATAAGAAACATGATAAACTACAATGAAAAAATAAAAGTAATATGAATAAAGGCAAAAGTTTTCTTCATTCTTTCAATATTAGAAAAAATTAGCAAATAATTCGAGTGCTTATAGCTTCAATCTTAGTGTGTCAAATGGGTACAAATGACCAATCAGGAACCTCTATGACAATGATTAAAAACGAGTACAATTTTTGTGATTATGGGAAAACGCAAAGTGGTTTAGAAGAAGAAAATAGAAGATTCTGAGACTGAAATTAAAATAGTTAAGTCAATTAATCAAGATAAAGCTAAAAATTCAAAATAAAAATTAAAACTTTATTTGTCAAGAATGTTTCTTACTAAAACTTAGCATGTTCATAAGTATTGTCCTCATCAGACTCATAATGTTAC